GACACCGATTGTTCTCCTTCCCTATCGTTTTGTCTTTATGAGAATGTTATATAAATGGAGTCATATAAGTACGTAAGCTGTCGAGACTGATTTCTTCCACTCAGCATACTGCACTTGAGAGTCCTATCAGTAATTCACTCCTTTTTATTGCTAAGTGGTGTTCCAGTGTACAGCTCTACCACACTTTGTCCACTGAACCACTGAAGGACATTTGGCTTGATTCGGTATTTTGGCACTAATGAATAGAATGGCTATGAATGTTTGTGCACAGGCTTTTGTGTGAACGTAAGTTTACATTTCTCTAGGGTAAATACCTAGGCGTAGGGTTTCTGGGTAATGTAGTAAGTGTGTATTTAACTTTCTAAGAAACTGGCAAACTGTTTTATTTTGCATCATTGTCGGCACTTAGCGTTGTCAGTATGGCTTTTTCTTTTAATTTTAACTCTTCTAATAGGTGTGTAGTGGTATCTCATCATACCTTTAACTTGCATTGGTTAGTAATCTTTTACTGTGTTTATTTGCCATTCAGATGTCCTCTTGAATGAAGTGTCAGCTTCTCAAGTCTCTTGACTATTTTAATTGGGATGTTTGCTACATTCGCAGGCTTGATTTACCTTTGCAAATGTTAGAAAATCTCAGCTATGTATCCAGTTTTCAATTATCTTTGCTAATGCAGGTCCATTCAGAGACTCAGTGCTGGCCAATAGAAATAGAGCGAAATTCAGTGCACACCAAAAAATGCAGGCTAAAAGGACTAATAAAAAGGAAAAATCAATGGACAGTAAATGAAGTCCATTACTGAATTTCCGATTTTTCAGTCCTTTTTGAAGTTTATTTCTATTTCAAAGAAAATCTTGGGCCAGTCTCAGTTTCCTCTTTCTTTGGTGTCTCTTGAGCTTCTGTCCCAGCTATAGCTAACCTTTACTATTAACTGCAGTTCAAATATTCTTTGCTTTCTGGGAAAATGTGTGACCTCTGTCACATTCTCTCCAGAGCTGCTTTAGTAGGAGTTTGGAGGACACACTGGTGAACAGGAGACAGAGCAGATTCTTAGGATGGGGCAGATTCGTGTGAGTGATTTACCAGAGTCACTTCACTTAACCCTGTGAGGACAGGTGTCAGCTCTAGTTTATAAATATAAAAACCAACTTCAGAGATGATAAATGACTTGCCCAAGCTCGTGGCATTCATAAGCAGTTGAATTCAGGATTCGAACTCGGGCCTCTTTGACTTTGGAAGTTATCTCTTCCTATGAGGCTGCTTAGTAACCTGAAATCTAAGATAAAATTAAGTAATTGCATATGAGCCTAAAGCCCCCACTATCCACAGGCCTGGAAATAATGTATTAAAAGTAGGTATTATTCTCTTGTTTCCCTTTGAAACTGTTTTTTTTCCCTGTAGTGTAATAAACCGTTCCTTCCTAAAAACAGAATGGTAAGGTAATAACTACACATTCTGCTTCAGGGAAGGAAGCAGTAGCCTTTCCCTGTCTAAACTGGCTCCCAAATTTTGTTGGCCCGTAGTCCTAGAAAACCATGCTTACACTTTAAAGCAGACTTTAAAAAATGTATTGAGTTAATTTTAAAAATCAGATTGTACAAAGGGTGTGTTTTAAAGGAGAATTCAGAAATACTTTAAACAGCATTCCTTAATTCTTTAACTCAAGAGTTAAAAAAACTAGGCATAATAAATACAACTGTAAATATTAGAAATAATAGAAGAGTATATTTTTATTTTCTCATGGTGGAGAAAGGGCTTCCTATGGAAGGAAACCCAGAATCATAAAAGATTGACACAAGTAATTGCTGTAAAATTTTAAACTATGTACAACAAAAGACACCACAAACAAAGTTAAAAGATAAGTTAGACTGATAGAAAGTATTTACAACACATAAAGCAAGGCTTAACATCCAAACTATATAAAGAGATCCAACAATTCATGAAGAAGAGAAACATCTCACTAGAACATAGTCAAAAGATATGAATGGGAATGTCACCAAAGAAATAGAAATGTCCAATCAGTATATGAAAAGACTATGAATTTACAGCAGTGAGAGATCCTTTTGCCTCACAGATATGGCAAGATTGAAAAGACTGATGGCATCAAATACTGGTGAGAATGTGAGGAAGCTGACACTCCCATTTACTGTCGATGGGAATGCATAGTTCTGACATCTTGAAAACAATTTGGCAAAAAACGGGAGCAATTTAGCAGCATCTATTAGAATTGATAAGAAGTTGCATTTTTAAGAATATTATATTAATACTGCAGAAATCTTAAAAGTGAATCCACTGTAGTATTGTTCATAATTGCCCACATTTTGGAACCACTTTCAATAGAGGAACAGTTAAATCTATTTTGTAATACAATATTGTTTAGAAAAAAATGTGATAAATGTATATGTGGTGACATGAAAGATATCCAAAACGTATTGTTAAATTGAAAAAAGCAAGTTACAGAATTTATATACATACATGTATGATACAGATATGTTCATATGTATGAGTATATGATCATATTCATATGTATATACATGATATATATGAAAGCATTTAAATATATAAGTGGGCAAGTATTTATATGATATTCTGCCCCATGTAGTAATGTGCATTATGCTTTTAAATATAATACTCTTTACCTTAAAAATGTTACCAAATCTTTTTGTCATTTTATTTGGTTAGCTAGACACCATGACAAGAGTATTTGTTTATTTCATTTTATTCAGTGTCATAATCTAATATAAAATCTACAGGGAGAATTTATGGCCTGCCTGCTGACTATTATTGGCCAGTATAACCAAATTAATAAGAACACTTGCAAATTTCTGCTATGTGTGGTACTTACTGTTTCACAGAGCAATAGAAAATATTCCTTACATCAGTACTATTTCTATGTATGAACCATGGCATGCTGAAAGTGTCAGGCAAAAGCAATAGCTAGAGAAACAGTTAACACTAACTCCAGAATGGGTCTGATTTATATATTGTCCTGAAGCCCATCCTGAAAAGGATAAATAGTGTATTTCTTTATATTGTGAGTCAGGCTTTTGTGACCAAATCCCTTTAATGAAACAATTACTAGGATCCTACATACTGTAGAAATTGGTGAAGAAATCAGGAGTATGACTAGGATATAGTTTTCAGTGGACAAGTATTTCCAAGCCATGGAAATGGCTTCTTACCTGTCATTTCCAGGTAAGAAGTCCACAGTGGTATGTAATGAGAAAGTGTCTGCTACCTCCTATATATGTATAGTTGGAATCTTCTATAAGTTCTTTCTTCATACAACCTCCATGTGGTTATTTAATCTCTTCTTTCCTGTGAGCCTAGTTCATTTTATTTCTTTCTGAAAACAAATAAATGAAAGGTGTCTGACGTTTCCACCATGGCCACGCAGTGTGCACTCTGATGAGACTTTGGAGGTGCCCAAATGTAAACTCTGTGACACACTCTAAGCAGTGACTCCTCTGGGCATACTGGGGTGGCAGAATCGCTGCTATGGTCACTGCCTGTGGGAATGGACCACCTAAGCTCTAGGGAAGTCCTCTTTTCAGGACATGCATTATGTCTGTTTTAGAGACATGGGACATAATGTTCATCATAAGATGAACACATTAGCAAGGAGCAGTAGCAATAGAACTTGCTATTATTCTCAAAGGATTCAGCCAAACAGTTTGAAAGGCATTAAAATAAAATAAAATCAGAGCAAAATGTTCTTCCCATATTCTCTGTCTTTCTAGAAAGATGTTGTTTGGGGCTTTGTGATATAACAAGCAAAACCAAGTGTAGTATTTACTGAAATTCTATATGGAAAGTATATATGCAGTCATAAAAATTAACACTTAAATTACTAAAAGAAATCTGGATGGGGACTTCACAGTAATTTTGAAACTACTTCTTTTTACTAAATCATTCTAGTGCTGTATCCTTAGGGATACGATTTTCCAGATAGGCTCAGAATTTATTTGACTAAGAACTAGTATGAAGTTTAGTGTTATAAGAAGCAGTAAAAAGGATGCTTGTGTATGATTGCTGCTGGAAGCGCCACAGAGCAGATGCAAATCTGGCAAAACTTTTGGTTGAATAACTTCCCTAACAGCCTGTAGAAGAGAATCATATGGAGTGTGTCTTTTTAAATTGTGCATCTGTAAACTGTAGCTTTTGTAAGAACACGGCTTTATCCATCTAGTTCATCATCTTTAGCATCTAGCACCTAGATCAGTACCCACCACATAGTAGTTGCTTAATAAATACTTAGTGAGTTAATTAATTAACACGTCTACCAGAACATTAATAGAATTTATCTCTGGATTACAGGTGGCTTGTATTTTCCAATTTTTGCTTAATTGCATTTTCTGAGTTTTCTATAATGAAGATAAATCAATCTAATGTTTTTAAAAACACATTTGGCCATTATTGAAAGGTCTTTGGAACCCACTTAAACTTTTATACTTCTTATTAGTTTTACTAGTAATAAATCTCTTTTATTCACAAAAATCTGCTTGTTTAGAAAATACAGTTTGGGATTATTTTTCTAGCAGCATTGATAGGTTTGGGCTGATCCAACCACATTCTCGGCCCTATCCCATCCCCTCCAGCCCCCCAGTTGAGAGTGCTATATGTTTACAGGCCACTGGTCAGCCAGTCAGGGTCAGGAACATTCTCTTTGGACATAGAACAGAGTAAAACTGCTGGAGTGAGGCCTTAGGCTCCTGACCTTGGCCTCGCTGTGCAAGTTCTCTAAGCAGCTGAGCTAACCCCTAATAGAGCTAGTAAGAGTTTGTAATTAGGCCTACAGTAAGCAGAACTGAGTGTTCACCTTCAGCTCCCTATTCCTGTTTCACAGCAATCATTTAACCTTAAGATAGATATATATATGGAGAGATTTGGTTCATAAATATGTAAAGTGGATAGAATACTATTAATACTAATACATCACTATTGACATTATAACATTGTTCCTATTTGTAATTTAAAAAAAATTTTTAATGATGGGTTCAACAAAACTACAATTATTTAAATGTGATTTAAAATAATATTAGTTTAAAATGTTATTTTAAAAGAACTTTATTTTTTATATGGAATAGGGTAATAATCATAAACAGTAGAAGAATCGAGTCATAATTTATGAGTATACAGAGTGCTAGATTGTATTTTTCCCAATTAAATGCAGAGATAGAGAAATATTACCATGGTTTGTATTATAATACTGGTGTCAGAACTAATAGTGAGGAGTGTTTCCCCAACTTGATACATGGGTTTAGCAGTGCAGCTCCCATCACCACTAATGCATGAATCAAGGTTAAAGCAGCCATGGATAGAACTAAGACTATAATGCAAGGTTTGGAGATGTCTATTTGGAAACTAGTTTTCATTGTTATTTTATGTTCTGTTTTATGCTTTTGGGGTTCCTGCTGTTATACTTTAAAAATTCTACTTTCAGATATGGTAAAAGATAACATTTTATGAGAAATAAAAGATGTAGCCTAGTTTTTCTACCATTGCCAATAAAATGATATAATGGATTAGAATTCCAACTAAAAGATAGGCCCAAAGGTTTCACTGAAATATTGGATATGTGTTGCTCACACAATGTCTAGAAAATTCAGTTACCCGTCTATTTGAAAAAGAAATTGGTATATGTTTTCCTGACTGTCTTTCCAATTACCAGACTATTTTTTCCTGAGATATTTTCATACATCAGTGGTACAGCTATATTATGAAAAACAATGAAATCCCTAGAACTATTTCACACGGCCATAATGAGCATGAATTGGAAATTAATATATCTGACAGGAATAGAGTAAATATGATGGTGCATATCTTCCCCCTTCTTCTAGACAATGTATCTGTACCCCTGGAAGGAAAATCTTATCTTCTGTGGCTAAAACAAATGAACATTTAGGTCTCCTGCTTGCTTAAGATCAATAAATGAATAGATTTTGCCTACTTTAATACTTCTGTTCTATGTTTAATCGTTGTGTATTTAACTGATGGCAGCTGCCCTAATTTAGGGCACATTAGAATGTGCTAACTAATTCACTTTTGAGGATTAAAATTAAACAAACCAGTGTTTCACTCTGACATGCTCAAACAGGAAGAATATCCTAGGGTGCATTTTTGTTAATAGTAATGTGGTAAATAGAGGTTTCAACACAGGCATAAACTTTTAATTGGCTGGTTTGAGAATATGGCTAGTTCATAGATTAATGGGCATTAATCAGAATTGTAGTTTCTTTATATTCAAACCAAAGCCTCTTTGAATATTAAATCTCTATGCCAATGAGATCATCAACCTTATTTTAAAGTCTCACATTGGGAGAGCCATCACGGGTGATGATAATGATGCTAAATGAGCAACGTAGTTGAGAAAAATAAGCATCGAGGATCACGCAAATATGATCACATCTTGTAGGCATTACATTTTTCATTCAGATGGACTAATTAATTAATTCACTAACTTCTCAATGATACACAACCCCCAGAACTCGACTGTTAAGCCACTGCTTCCAGGAAACTAGGGACCCACATGACACTGGACAGGAAGAGTGATTGACCTCATGAGTAACTATGGCTACCCATGCCCTTTTGAGAGCCCAGCCTTTACAGAGAAGAGGGAAAACTAGGGCCACAGGGCCTAATGGCACACACAGCGCTGCTGGCGATGAGAGTCTGAGCCAGCAGCTGGAATCTTGAGCTGGTCACCTTGCCTCAGCCAGGTGGTTAGCCCAGCTTTAATTATTAATAGAGCATTAGGCTTCCCTGCTCTGTGACCTGGCATCAGGCTGTGGTGGCATGGGCAGTAAACCTCTGCATACTATTTCACATTTGGGCATCGATTAATAAGCAAGTGATTCTCTTTTGTGTTATTTTGGAAAAAAGAGATTTATTGTTATATATGTAGGTAGCGTCATAGGTTTTGACTGGTTGTCCTTATCCCATTCAGTCCTCCTTAAGGAGCCTAGATATTAGCCTCAAGTGAGGCTTATAGGTCCAAGGTCCAAAAGAATGTGATGGTTAGTGCCCACCCATACACAATAGCACCAGGAAATTAATAATGTAAAACTAGAAGACTCTCCAAAAGCTCACTTTGCTCAGAAGTATGTGGCTAGAGTCAGGCCTTCTTCTCTCTGCACGTGTGTGCTGTTAGCCCAGGAGAGCCCAAACCAAAACATAATAAAGCTTCAACATCCCTGCACTCAGCATTTTACAAATCTCTTTGGAATGGGAAAGTAAATAATTCCTTAAACACTTGGCTCTTACAGTAGTCAGTCTTGGACAGCTGTCAACAGGAAACCCCAATTTATCTAGTACTAAAACCTTCTGTCACCAAAGGTCCTGTCACCTAAACCTTGACATAGGACCTATGAGAAATTTTTTGTTGTTGTTATTATTAGGAAGCACTAGCAAGTATTTGGAAAAGATGGGGAAACTTAGGAGAGTGGAATCACATTTCTCCTAAATACTATCTTTAATTATTTACTTACTTGAGAGCTTGTTTAAAATGAAAAGTTTTTCCTTTTCTTTTAGTAAGTTGAGAAACACCAATTGCATGACCATGTCCTGGTAATGAAATCTTAAGATCGCTTAACACTGTCACCCATGATAATTGCAAGACACTACATTTTGTTCTTGAAAATCTCATTGAGCCTTACCCCCAACATTCTGTCGTTTACAAACCTGTCATAGAATCACATAAGATGACGGGATTTCTGTGACAAAGCATTTGTGATTTTATCTTTATTTGATCTTGAGTTGTTTACTATTTTCATTGTGCAGGCAATTCTCAGGCATCATCCAGCTGATTCTTACTCTCTGTGAATCCTGCAGAGGGAGGGGGAATCAATGAAACACGTTCTCTCTTAGAGGGAGTGATGAGGGAGGGAGAAGAAGATTATATATGGAGGGAACCTTTCCCTGTCTCAACACTGCTGTATGCATGGGCTGACCCAGCTGGAAACAGAGGTCTCTCCCCTGCTGCTGTCACTTTTCAGGGAAGGAAGAGTATGTCTGGAGCCATAGCTGGGGGAGTGGGGAGCAGGGGTTGAGGGCAGGATTTTTTCGATCACTACTGAAATTGGAGCGATATGAACTTGAACTCTTAAGAGGAAGGTGATGTGGTCTCCAAGAAGGCAATTAGGTAGACAAGAAGTGTGAGAATTAGGGATCAGAACTTTGAGGTGAACAGGTTGAGTGGTCTTAGACAAGTTACATTTAACCTCAGTGCCTCATTTTCCTTATATCAAGCAGAGACAGTGTTAGAATTAATTAATTTTGCAGGGTGCTTTGAGATCCACTGTTGAAAGACTGAAGTAGTATAGAAGGACGTTTTGTGTTGCTGCTGTTACTGTTTTTAGAAAAAGAGAAAACTCTCCATATTTTCTTTTTGTTACCTATGTTCCAGACCCCCACACCCTATAATAAGAAACAAAAGTAATGTGTTGGCTTTATCAACTAAGTATTCATCCACACAGTTATTTCTTCACATTTTGCAGGGCTGATGATGTCACTGTTTGGGGGGGTTTGTCTTTGGTTGGTTGTTTTTAGGGTATGCTTCATGCCTGATACTAACACTTTTAAACTGATTCCCTTAAACTTCTCAAAAAGTTCCCCAAATTTGACCTTTGAACAGAGGTCTGCTGTTTCCAAGGCTGACCACGAACGCAGCCTCACGCTACCCTCACCTCTTTCTGGTTGCTTCCTCTTTTTGTGGCAGAACAAAAAATCCCAAGTTCTGTATGTTTGCTTACAAATACACGGCTCAGCTGTGCCCCCATCCTTTGTGTCAACATGAAAATTTTCTTGTTCTATGTTTAGCTTGAATAATTACCAAACTGTTTGTAATTAGAATGTGAGGATGTGACCTCACAGCAATTTTTTCATTTCCTTTCTCTGTCTTTAATACATTTCAGAAACTGAAAATGCCAAATCTCTGTCCTTTTTTTTTTTTTTGATGCTTATCAGTAATGGAAACATTGCAAAACAATCAGCCCAATACCTATGCTTTGTTCATTTATTGCCTTCTCTGAAGATAAATTGACTGTACTCAACTCTCTTCAGCATTTTTCTTCACCTAGATATTATTGCCTTGTGCAGCCACCCCAAGGTGACTGTTATCACTTAATTAAATCCTTGCACGCTGGGAAGAAAAAACAACATTGTTCCTTCATAACCCCAAGGAGCCTATTTTTAAGCCACTAAGCCTTTTCCCTGTTTTATTAACTTATTCCTGGCTACAACAAGACATACTTTTGTTGATGAGCAAAAGGTTGTATTAGCTTTTTATTTTCTGGGTAAACTTATCTATTCTCTGGGAAGAGGGAAAAAAAGAATGGACATTATAAGAGAAGGGGAAAAATGGGGTCTCTTCAACCTCCCTGATTCTAGTAAAGGTCTCTGTAAACACTGAGCTGGAAACTAGAAGCAGGGGGATTCAGGGAAGGGAATGAGAAAATAAAATGTAAACATAAAATGGGAACAAGACTAAAAGTAAAATGACGAGCCTGTCTATTGGGGGAAGCATGAGGCATAGGGGACACCACTTTCAAGCTAAAGAAACCAGGTATAGACATTGCATTTTTGGAAGAGGATTTTCTATCAGCTCTTCTTTTTGTTGATGCTATAGAGAAGCATCTTTTTATTAACCTCTTGTTTAATGTTTTTAACCCCTGAAGTCAGGTTTTCTTCTTTACCTTATGGCATTAGGCATCCATTGTCAACCAGTTCTATGCCCAGATATGTTTCAAGGCGTGAAAGAACTAGTGGGGTATGTTTAGAGGGCTGTGTTTGTGTGTACACGTTAGTAATAGGGATGCACAACCCGTAATCAGAGTTCTGAGTGCAGCACTTGATAACAAAAAGTTCACTTGCTGCAAAGGAAGTTATCTGTTCATGCATAGTAAATTATGTACTTTTTAGTTTGTTTCTAGTCCATTAAATCGTGGGCCAGAAAATGGGTTTGTCACTTTTAAAATTTGGACCCAAGCAAGCATATGTGTTTATTCATGATGCTAAATCATTTTACCACACGCTGTGTTCACCAACAGTGTAAATGCTGCTTAAAGCTGTCATATTGGCAAGAGCAGTTGATGCTATGACAGGCTGGGGTTGGATAGAGACCTGGTTCTTAAATAGTTGGATAATTAAGATATCTGAACCGTTCCTGATCGCTGCCCCCACAGGTTACACGTTTTTCAGCTTCACACACACAAAACATGTGATTGGGGGAAAACTGGCTTACTCCCTGAGACAGTGCAAGAGATATTCAGTGGCTCAGTATCCCTGTCTCTACAATGGGAAAACACAAACACCTCTAGGAAGATGTGAGAATGGGCCCAAGGATGCCTGTGAAAATTCCTGTAATGAAAGGGCCATCTGTACAAACACCAGGAGTTTTTTCTTACTTGGTGCATAAGATCCTCCAATGCCTACTTGGACTGACGGAGAATCTTCACATGTTGCCTTCTTGGATGTGGCTCATATCTGCAGTAGTCTCCCAGTTGCCAGCTAAATGAATGCCTGTGGGGATGTGTATATCTGCCCACTCACTGGAGTACATCAGTTTAGCTTTGTTCCTCTGCAGGTTAATTTCTTTCCCTTTATAATAGCATTATAAATATCTTAGGGAGGCAGGTTATGGCCTCTCCCAGCAGACACCCTGAACTGTGTTTGTCTGAAAGGTTTACCTGGTGTCATGATGAAGTTAGTATACATGTATGTACATGTTTGACTTCAAATTCCAACTTTTGCTGGCCAGGAACTCCTCATGGCTTTTTCCTGACAACCTTAGAATACAATATAGCATCATAAAATGAGTTATCATTTAGTGTCTGTGCGTGTGTGCTGTCTCTCACATACATGCACCACATCAAGGTTAGGCAGGGTCCTTCTTAAGCTATGCTTGCCAGTTTTGTACATCTGGCCTTTTGGATTGTCAGATCAGGAGGCAACATAGCTTTCCTCAGTAGCCCATTTTTGTCCTTGACGGTCCTTTCTGTCATTTCCTCAGATCCTTTCCTGCTCAAATTTTCCACACTGCGTTTGCCCCACCTGCAGCAGAAGGCGGTTGCCAGCCTTGCAGACAAACCTCACGTGTGTCCACATTGTCCCTCAGCTTCCTCGAGGCTCAGTAATCCAGCCCACTTAACTATCCCCTAAAAGTGTTATGTTTCAATCATCTAATCATTTTCTCAGCTCCCTTTTGAACCCTAAGTTGTTTCAGTAAAGTGGCAACGCCCAGAACTGAATTTATTTAAGATCTAAACAGTGCTGAATAAAAAGGCAAATTAACTTCGGATCCTAAAATCAAATGTTCATGGCTGCCACTTCCAGGCATTGAAATTAAAAATATTGAGTCGATCAGTTGCCTCACGTATACACGTAAATGGGCGGTCCACGTGCGCATGCGCACACGTGGCGGGCGGTGTTGGCTCCCGCAGAGCCACGGAGAGCGAGAGTCGCCCTCAGACACCGACCTCTGCTTGCAGGGCACGAGGCAGCCAGCAGCCGCGACTTCGCTCGCGGGTCTCGGAGTGTGGTGCTATTTGAAGGTAAACAGAACTGGAGTCAGGCAAAATTGTCAAGCGGTTGGAAGGCTTCGGCGTCAGGTATTTTCTGTTCCCCTTTGTCACACGTGCCCTCCTGTCCCCACGTGGGTGAATGTGCGGGCCAGGCCTGTGTACATGGAGGACGCAGTCACTCAGGTAAAGTGAGCTGATGAAAAGAGCACCCTGATAGGTGTCGGTTCCCTCCTTTCCTCGTCTCTTCCCGCATTTTCACCACACAGCTCTCACCTAGAGCACAGGCTGAGTTGGAGGAAGCTTAGAGGCAGTCTCCTGGCTGACACCTCGCTGACACCCTCTTTCATCTGCTTCCAGTTACACGTGAAGAGGGGGCAGTGGAAACAATGCGGAGTTCGTATAAAGCCGTTACAACATTAGTATGTGTAGTGGGAGCATACACTATAGAGCAGCCTGAATTTGAGTTCCTGCTCTATCATTTACTAACTAAGGGATATCACTTTATTCATCTCGAACAGGGACGCTAAGTGAGGAAGTGAGGTTGAACTGGATTGGTTCATGTAAAGTCCTTCTCCCAGGGTCTAATACAGACACCACCTCAATAAATGCTGTCACTGTTATTATTCATCCCTTTTGTGATTTGGAGGATAGTTGAATACGCATACTATATATATGTGTGCTGTGGAGTGAAGTGTGCCCCTCCCACCTCCAACTCATATGTTAAAGCCCAGATTCCCCATGTTGACTGTATTTGGAAGTAAGGATTTTAGGAGGTAATTAAGGTTAAATGAGGTCCTAAAGGTAGGGTCCTAGTCCCATAGGATTGGTAGCCTTATGAAAAGAGAAAGAGAGAGAACTCTCCCTCCATCCCTCCTTCTCCTCCCTTCCTCCACAACCTCCCCACATACGTGCATCCAGGAAAGGCCGCGTGAGGACACAGCAAAAGGTGGCTGCCTGCAATCTAGGAAGAGAGCCCTCACCAGAATCTGAACCTCACAGGCACCTTAATTTTGGACTTCCCAGCTTTCAGTCTTGTGAGAAAAATATTAATACCTTTCTGTTGTTTAAACCACCCAGTCTGTGCTATTTTGTTATGGCAGCCCAAGCAGACTAAGACATGTTGTGTATGTGTGTTTGGTATGTGTATGTATCGCAGAATAGTTCTTATTTTTAAATGACCACGCTTATGAAAATCATTTTTCTCTTATTTTTATGTTTTTATTCTTCTCGTTTCTTGTTGACATTAATGTTCTGCTCAAGTGTTTCATGCTATATTTCCTTAATGTATCTCTTTCTGATAACTTCTGCAATTTCTCAAGGTAAATGAATAGTATTTTTCTCCCTTAAAATAATCTGTACCTAAACGTATGGATTGTTTTAAGTTTTAAAGGGAAATGTTTGTGACTATGATGAATCTTATCACAGCCTTTTCTTATTTTACCTTTAGTCTCATATGTAACAAATTTAGTTTAACTGCCCTTATTAAATTATCCCATTATTCCAAGTGTGTTTTTCTCCTTATGAGTAGGCAAAACCCACTCTTATTAGCAGACCTTCTTCCTAAATCAGAATCCCAAGTCAAATTATAGTCATTTGGGTACCATTTATTATATACTTGCTATATAATGGCACTTTTACATGCATTAATTTGAATCATCTAAACAGCTCTACTGAGTAGAATAAATAATGTAGATATTATTCTTTACCGTTTCATATGAGAAAACAGTAAATTTGCAAAATCAGAATTTGAGCTCAGTTCTATTGGAGTCCAAAGCTCATGCATTCTTTCACATTACACCTTGCTACCTCTTGAAATGTTGGAAGCATTTTTATTTCAAACCCGGATGCGGAACTTGTTCAACTCTGGCCACATAGGCTCCTTAGCTTCACTAAAGGAACTGAAGAGACAAGACCATAATTGTCCCATCTTCTCTATCATTGTCACTTTGAATCTGACCAGGCAGACTCTAACTGAGTCATGCTCCCCATGCTAAGGACAACTAGAGAGGTCACTCTCTAGTGCCAGGTTTGTGAGCCGTGAGCTGTGTGGCCTCTGGCAAGATGTGTCCCATGTGAGGATTTTTCAAGAACTGAAGCAGGGCTCTTCCTGACGAGAGGTACAGATTGTGTTTCTTAGCAATGACTAAGGTCAAGGTGTTGTCAGAATAGTTCATCTGCCTGATGCAACTCTTCTGTCCTCCTCAGTCATCTTCTTTGTGGGGTTCCTATAAGGTCTTCTGACTCTAGAAGTCTCCCACTTCCACACCTTTTAATCACGCCAGGAGTCTGTCCCTGTATCTTAGAAACCCTTGTTCTCTTTCTGATGCCTCACCTGTGACTAGGATGATATCCAGATTTCTTTTCTCCTGAAAACTCTGGAAAGATCCTAGGCACAGATATGAAAGAATCAGTTCTCTTTCAACCACTTCAGCTGCTTACCGTGTCAACCATTCTTTTGTCAACTGATTTATGCAGAAGTCATGGGAAGGGTCCTAATGTTTCAGCCCATGTTCTCCAACCCTCAACACTCCCTCTGCTAGGCATTTCTCCATAGCTAAGTGTTTAAGCCTATATATCCTCTTGAGTAATCCATTCAGACTGCCTAATATATTATAAGGGGACATTGGTAATGTGTTTCTTTCAAAAACTTGCTGAATAACTCCCTATATCCACCGTTCCCTTGTGTGTTCCAGTAAGCCAACAGATTTTAGCATTGAAGAAGCAAGTGTAAATTATTCACAACAGATCCCGTGTAGCTATTTGGGACAGTGATTTTTACCCTGTTCAATATGATGGTTTTATGTCATGCCATATTATTGAAAATTTTAATTGTGATAACATAGTCCAGGTTCAGTGTGTTAATGGAGCCCAACATGAGGAAAACTTGCCTTTTAAAAAGCTATGAAGGAATGGTTTTCTTTGCTTATTGCCTGTGAAGATGTGTTACTTACACCCTTGCTGAGTTTATAGGAAAGCCGGACTCACTGCATTCTAGAGTACTGAGGACAATGCTTGTCACGGTTACACTCTCTTTGCCTCGCTAGGTCAAGTAGAATTAAGGATGTTGATAAACTATGGAGACCTGTGTCACTGTACAGTGGACCTGCCTCATGGGTCATGTCTATGTGCTCTTTAGGTAAGGGCAAAATAACATTGGCTAACACTTTCATGACAGGTTCCTGTCACAGCAGGAAAGTACTAAGAGAGGGATAAAAATTTGGTAGAGAGGAGCAGCAAATGTCTCATGCAAGTACAGTTACCTGTAATGAGAGTCGAAGGAGCATATAGAAAATGATAAAGGCTTAAGGTTGTGTTTATAAAACCCTTAATATATTTTTATTTGCTTTGGGATAAAAGTCTTCCATTGGGGCTCAGAGGCCAATTTGACTCTTGAGGGGCTCAGTCCTTTAGGGGAAGACACTTTTCAGCCTGTGAAGCATTTAAGTAGAAATTAAAGTAGGTCATGCTATTACTAAGGAGCAGCCCCCAAGCAAGACAATAAAACAAATCTGACTTGTTGGAGAAGGTCAAGGCTAGAGTGAACAAATCTCATTGGAGGCAAAAAGAATTTGTCCCCAATATTCAATCATACAAAATGTACAAGAGCCTACACAAATTCAGAATCATTCATGGTTTTTGAGATTTGTCAGTAATCATTACACACCCATGAATCAAATGTATAAGTGTATTCAGAGTTGTTCTTAGCTGCCCTGTGGTTCACATACAAACACATTCGGAGAAGGATTTATGGGGACACTAACTGTGAAGTATGGCCCACACATACCACCACCACACTGTCACTGTGGCCATCAGCACCTCTTTCACTAAATTCATGAATGCAAAATCCAACCAAACCATGAAAGGAGAAGAGAAAAAAGGAAAGAAAAGGAAATCAAAGAAAAAATAAAAAGGGAGCTAAAATGAGAACATAGAAGTGTCATGGAAACTGTTTATCCCAAATTTGCACCCTGTAGCTTCCCAGATGATACTATCTGACATTGTACGGCCTCACTTTTTCAATCTACCATCATTCATGGAGCAGGTTGGTGTTACTTGGACCCTAAGTTATGTCTAAGGAACAGTTGTAATAGAGATTTATCCTTCTTAAATTGTTAGGACTTCATTAAAAATATTAATTCTGCAAGCTTATTGAGACAGTTTTATGGTAGGTACAGGTGGAAATTTTCTTAATTGTGAGGTTGATCATCTTGCAGTCTTGAGATTCTAGACAGCTAGAATAAATATCATTCTAGTAATGAAAATAAGTATTAGTTCATGTGCCCAGCTCTTAAAAGAAACCAGGCAGAGGGCCAAGGAAAAAAATCAGACTTGGAACTTAATATCTTGGCTCCTTCCTACCACTGTTGTTGGCAATTTGGATGCCTTTGACATAGAAGGCTGAGAAAGACTAAGTAGGAGGTGAAAGTTGTGGCTTAAGGTATTATTGTTATATATGGTTGAGGCCACTATAAATTCTGTAGACTAAATAAAATTTTAATAAGTCTAATAGTCATTGGGAAGTAGACTGCCATTTGTCAAACTCATTGAATGGTGGAATATATCCATTTTCAAATTATTTGTGTTCTAACATATCTTTAGCTATTTAAGACAAGAGGGTGCATAAACAATCATTGTGCATGTCACAATTAGACTGAGACTATTGATTCAAGGTTTCTAGTGAGTGAATTATCAATATTACCAACTGCAAATTTCTTTTAGAATTACAGTAGATTGGCACATCCATGTATTTGAATAGATCGTGCATAACCTAGATTATTGTGGCAGCAAATCCCTTGTAGGATGTATACTGTTATGACTGTTACACAATTTCAGTAAACCAGATGGCCCTAAGTCACTGAAAACAGTTTATCTAGTGATGACTCAGGTATGTTAGGTGATAAGGGCTCTGTAGAAAAGTAGATATTAGGCGTTCTGTGGCAACTTATGCCAAATAGCCCAAGACAAAATACACAGTAAGCTAGACTTGCCTAGCAGCCTTATATTCCGTGCTGCTTAGGAAAAAGCAGAATAACAAGGTCTGTCATTCTTTGGCAGATATCTGAGATGTCAGTTACCAGCCCCTGACT